CACACACACACACACACACACACACAAACACACAGAATGATATAGAGAGAGAGAAAGAGAGAGAGAGAGAGAGAGAATGTCAGCGTTCCAAATATCATCCAGAATTAAATCAAAATCCAAGGCAGAGGTTTCCTCAAAGTCCCAATTTATTAAGAGAGACATGTTGGTACATCTGTGGGAAACCTGAATCTGAAAGCTTCCCGGGTTTTCCACCCATGATCTTGCCCCCACACCCACAAGTCCATCCCATGGTCCAATCTTCCACTGCCACACTGGCATTTCCACCCATCTACTTCCGGTCAGGTGCAGAGACAAAGGATGACCTTGGGCTTCTGGAAAGGAATGTTTTATTTTGACAACAACACATTCTGCTATTCTACTCCTTACTATTCCCCCTCCCAATTCCCTACTAATGAAAACAGCATAGTAAAATGAGAGAGAGTGTGGCAGGCCAAAGATCCTGAAAGGAATATGACTGCAGGCCTGACACTCGGTATGTGTATATGTCTTTAAAACTTTGTACAATTTGCCGACACCAGAGATGACCCAAAACATCTTTGATCCAACTTTGGAAGACAATTCCATATTCTATCCACTAGAACAAATTTTGATAAAATAAAACAAACGCCCAATTTTTAAAGACAGGAAGCAGATATTCCCATGGATTTTTTTTCCTTGTTCCCCACTGAAGCCAAGTAATATTGGATTCTGTTTGTGGTTATTTTAATATTCCTTGTTCAATTACAGACGGGATAATGGTTTGCAGGGATTTCAGATTAGAATATGCTAAATAAGGAGACCTGAGCACCGTATTTTTCAGTGTATAAGACACACTTTCTCCCCCCCCCCCCAAAAGAGGGGGAAAATTTGGGTGAGTCTTATACACCGAATGTAGCCAAAAACGCAAGGCACGGAAGAGGCGATAGTCTGTGGCAATCCCTGCAGCCTCGAACAGCTGATTGGGGGTATTCCGGGAGGCCTGACATACCCTTTGTCCGAAGCTACTTGGGTGAAAAGCTGGAATCAAAAAGCGGATAAGTTGGTGCAACAATTCCATGATAAGTTTCCCAATAAGCCAAAGGGTCCCCACCCGGGGGGAGGGGGAAGAGATGGTTAATTCTGTTATGTAAACCCCTATATTATTCTCTTCCAGGAAACGTTTCTTCTGAGGAGAGGCTGCCTGTCAGGTCTGCAGCCACTTCCTTTTGGGATCTTTGGCCTGCCACACTAATATTCTGCTATGCTGTTTCATTAATGGGGAATTGGGAGGGGGAATAGTAAGGAGTAGAATGTGATGTCAAAATAAAATTCCTTTCTAGAATCCAAGGTCATCCTTTTGTCTTTGCATCTCTGCACCTGACCGGAATTGGATGGGTGGAAGCTGCCAACATGGCAGTGGGAGATTGGACCGTGGGATGGACTTGTGGGTGTGGAGGGAGGGGGGCAAGATCTTGAACTTTCAACTGGGTAGGGAAAACTAGGAAGCTTTCAGATTTGGGTTTCCCACAGATGTGCCAACACGGCTCTCTTAATAAATTGGCACTTTGAGCAATACTTTGCCTTGGACTCTGATTTACCTTTGGATGTTATTTGGAGCTCTGACGCAGGATAGAGCTGGAAGGGGCCTTAGAGGTCTTCTAGTCCAACCCCTATTGAAGCAGGAGACCCAATAGCAGTGGTGAAATTCAAATTTTTTTACTACCGGTTCTGTGGGCGTGCCTTGGTGGGCGTGGCAATGGAAGGATACTGCAAAATCCCCATTCCCTCCTCACTCTGGGGCCAGGCAGAGGTGGCATTTGCTGGTTCTCCAAACAACTCAAAATTTCCGCTACCGGTTCTCTAGAACCTGCTGGATTTCACCCCTGCCCTATACTATTTCAACCATTTGTCCTGCTTCAACAGGGACTAGGAGACTTCTAAGGTCCCTTCCAGCTCTATTCTGATTGATATTTTGACGTTCCAATCTCTTCTTAAAAACCTCCAGGGATGGAGCACCCGCAGCTTCTGGCGGCAAGATTAGTTTCACTGGTTAATTGTCCTCACTGTCAGGAAATTTTTACTTAGTTCTAAGTTACTTCTCTCCTTGATTACTTTCCATTCATTGCTTCTTGTCCTGCCTTCAGGTGCTTTGGAGAATAGCTTGACTCCCTCTTCTTTGTGGCAGCCCCTGAGATATTGGAAGACTACTATCATATCTCCCCTAGTCCTTCTTTTCATTAAACTAGACATACCCAGTTCCTGCAATCATATGTTTTAGCCTCCAGTCCCCTAATCCTCTTTGTTTCTCTTCTCTGCCCTCTTTCTTGATTCTCCACATTTTATTTTTACATCGTGGCAACCAAAACGTAATGCAATATTCAAAAGTGGCCTTACCATACTTTTGTCGTGGTCCCTGATGGGTGGTGTGCTCTCAGCCAAGGTCTCTTTGGAGGCATTAGGACAGTGGTTCCCATCCATTTTTCTCTCCTTGCTCATTTTTCATCCATTGTTCCTTGTCTGGCCTTTGGGTTCCTTGGAAAACACTGTGACCCCCTCCTCTTTGGGGCAGCCCTTCAAACACTGGATGACTGCTATCATGTCCACCCCTAATCCTTCTTTTCTCTAGACTGCCCATACCCAATCCCTGCAAATGTTCTTCACGTTTTAACCTCCAGTCCTCTAAACATCTGAACTGCTCTTTTCTGCACTTTTTCTAAAGTCTCAACACCTTTTGTTTGGAACGTGGTGACCAAAACTGGGTGCAGTATTCTAGGGGTGGCCTTACTAAAGCTTTACAAAGCGGTACTAACACTTCACGTGATTTTGATTCTATGCTTCTGTTTATACAGCCAAAGGATCGTGATTAGGTTTTTTTGGGTAACACCTCTCACCCCGCCCTCTTTTCTACAGCTGTTACAATGCCTTCATTTTAAAGCTGAAAAACGGGCAAAGGGGCTGCACTCTCCTCCTTCTCCCCCCCCCCCGGCCACTCACCTGGCCCGAGAAACTGGCACCCCCTGGCCCGGACAGCGGCCCAGAGATTGGCCGAGAGTTGCTGAGGGTTCTGGTGTGCCAAGATCAGCTCGGTGACGGTCCTTTCCCCGAGGGACCGAGCTGCCCGCATGGCCCGGATGCGGCCTTCTTCTTCCACCAGCTGGCAGTTCACCAGCGTCACCAGCTTCCGTTGCATTGGCCGGCTCAGCGTGCTCTGATTTAAGCTAGCCACACCTGTGAAGAACAACAGAAGAGTTATGTAACTTTTACCATTCGGTGGCAGAAGGTGAGGAGGTTGGGGAGGAACCTGGGCCAGTCCTGGAGTCTGGGGAAGGCTCGGGTGAGAGCTCTGTGTCGGAGGCAGAGAGGGGGCCAGAGCCGTCTGACAGTTATCAGCTGCCTTCAGAGTTGGAGATCAGTGGGGCAGAAGAACAGCTGGAGCCTGTTCCCAGTGTGTGTATGTGCAGAACTGCCAGGATTTGGGAACAGCTAAGGAACAAGGGTCAACCTGGGAGTAAAGCCACAGGTGGACGGTGAATGTCCCCTC